TGTTGCTGCTGCTGCTGTTGTTGTTGCTGCTGTTGTTGTTGCTACTGTTGTTGCTATTGCTGCTGCTGCGGTTGTTGCTACTGCTGCTGCTGCTTTTGCTGCTGCGGTTGCTGCTGTTGCTGCTGCTGCAGTGGCCGCTGCTCTGGTTTTTACTGATTGGCACTCTGGGTGTATAGAGCGCTAAACCCTAAACCCTAAACCCTAAACCCTCGGAGTGTTTTGTGTCTCAGCGAGGGTTCCTTGCGGCAAGAACATCCAAACCCTCAATTCTGTCTTCGTCAACAGACAAGGCCAGCTGTGCAAACGTAAACCCTAAACCCTAAACCCTAAACCCTAATAACATCCTATCATATCCCCCTGAAAACCTAAACCCTAAACCCTAAACCCTAAACCCTAATAATATCCACGCTAAACATCTGCGTGTCTAGCTGGTGGCCGGTGGTGTGGTGCGCTTGTTTCTCCGCACAGTCTCGGCCTTAGGGTTTAGGGCTTAGGGTTTAGGGTTTAGGGTTTAGGGTTTAGGGTTTAGGGTTTAGGGTTTGTGAGCAGGCCGAGGGTCTATACTGGAGCGAAAAGCCGTCGATGGTTTAGAGCCGCTGCAGTCTGGCTGCTCCGTCACTCTCCTCATCGACCTCATGCGCTTCGTTGCTGTCTTTCAGGTCTCTAGGGTTTAGGGTTTAGGGTTTAGGGTTTAGGGTTTGTGTCTTCTGTCGTACTGGGGTTGTAGTGCGGTGTAGAGGGAGATGCTGGGGTGTATAGGCAGGTGCTGGGGTGTATAGGCAGGTGCCGGGGAGTATATGGAGGTGGTGGGGTGCTGGGGTGTATAGGCAGGTGCTGGGGTGTATAGAGAGGTGTTGGGGTGTATAGGCAGGTGCTGGGGTGTCTAGACAGGTGCTGGGGTGTATAGGGAGGTGCCAGGGTGTATAGACAGGTGCTGAGGTGCTGGGGTGTATAGGCAGTTGCTGGGGTGTATAGGCAGGTGCTGGGGTGTATAGGGAGTTTGGGGTGTATAGGGA